CCGCTAAGTCAAAGTCTAAGAGAATATGGTGTTATTTCCTAGAATCATCCCCACCCAGTTTGAAATTCTCTCTGTTTCTAGTTTTTGCACACTCCAACCTGACTTCTTTATGCCCCGTTTTTGGTTGCGGAACAATTTTCCACCAAGTGTGCTTCCAGCTGGCTCAAGTTCCCGTTAGTAACCTCATGGTTACTCACCATGAGTAACTAAATCTCAACCATCAGATTTAATTGAGTTCAGAAAATCCAGAATTAAGGGTGGAAAATTAAAGACATTTTTATTTTCTTTTGTTTTCTTAATCGACTGATATCTTATTCGTTTTAACTCGGATTTCAAATTTTTTTTTCACAGATGGAACGAGATGTTGTGCTTTACAAAATGAGATCAATTTTTAATATTTTTTAGAAGAAAAAAATTTCTTGCCTCTCGTTACCAACTGCATACCATATAGTATCTTCTTCGTTTTTAAGTAGTTTTTGAAAAATTTTGCACTGAAGGAACGAGTTCATCATGAACTATTGGATCGACAAATTTCTGGGTGAACAACATAAAGGACCAAAAAATATCACACAATAACACCCTAATACGGGGTGGTATCTTGTGGTACACAATGTTGAAAGTTGTAAATAAAAGTTAGTATACTCATACTATCATGTATTCGATCATCCTACAGTCTTGGTATGTTCATACCACCATGGTAAGCTTTTTTATACCATATGGTCTGCTCTTATTTAATACGGTCAATACTATATGATATATATTGGTAAAAAATGACTCAATTTTTTTTTGTTCCAAAAATATATCAAAGTGGATATCATTTTGAAGAGCACAATTAATCTAATCTAACTGTGCAAAAAATTAAATTCCAACTTAAAACGAGTGAGAAATCGTCCATTAAATATTAAGAGGAAAAAAATTAAAGACTTTTCAAGAGAGAGAAGAAGCGCTGATGTGGCGGATGCTGATTGGGTTATACATGCTTACTCACCACAAAGTTATGAATAGGAACTGCTACCTTTCCAGCCACTGTACCAGACGTCAATATCGGCAAGAGAACAAAGCAAAACCTATCGGGCAATCTCTCTTCCCGTGTCACTCGCCTACAACTAGGTGTGGCTATCCGGTCCAGTCCAGTTAAATTGGTCCAAATTGATCCGTTCTCTGTCCCGATCTTTTCGGGAATATAAGGATCAAAGATTGTATTTGCTACAATACGGTATTGATCGGGTCCAATCCCAATTCGGTCATGATTTTAATTGTGCTTGTGGGGATTTGAGTGGCCTGAGGCATCAAAGGGTGAGGAGTTGGTTAAGTTTTGGGTGTTGGACTCCTTTATCCAGTTTTTATCCTATTCTTAGTCCGATCTCGAACACTTTTTTACCTCAAATCTAAACACAAAAATGAGATTGGATTATTTGCTATCCGGTCCTGTTTCGATCTCGATCGGAATTATACGGTCCAATTTCGAGTAAAACCAAAAAATCTGAACCAAATAGCCACCCCTATCTGCAACCCTCTCTATCTCTCAAAATTTCATTCTCTCTCTCAGAGCACGAGCTTATTCTTTTGCGAAAACATCATACATACCATAAATTCCTTCCTAGAAAAATACAATTCTTTCATTGATATCATTTTCCAATTAAAAGAAATTGAAAGTAATATTTTCATATAAAAGAAATCTAGCAATATCATCCATTTTCACTACTTAATTTTTATTTATATTTTGAATTAACATATTTTTTAATGATTCTATTAAAAACAAATTTACTAAATTTGAATCATCTCTAATACTAAAAAGTATTTCTTATATTTTAACATCCATACAAGTACAACTAATTTTTTAAAATTTCTCTAATAACTCCAACGATAAGTTGCTTTTGTTAAAAGTACAATAGGGCCAATCCTATATTTCTCTCGTTAAGGCTTTTCCTCACTGACATGATTTGATCTTTCTTAAGGAGAGGCTTTTAATTTGTACTTTAATAACATCACGGTAAGGAAGTGATTAAATACCATATATGAGGCTCTCCCAACAATTTGAGTTATTGGAACCAGTTGGTTTATGACAATCACGGTCATCGTATGTGAAAGGCTAAATTCACAATGAATAGATTTGTGATTGTTATTAATAGTTTTCTAGAAAGAGTACATTTGGAACATTTAATCATAAGAGATAAAAACGGAATGACCAAGTGTAACAAAAGATGAACCGAGACATAATGGGTAGAATCTTGGTAATTAACACACAGTATAGCACACGAAAAGGTAAAATTATTATAGGCACAATGTACATAAGAAAGAAAAAAGAAAAAGATCATGAACACATACTAAATTTTAGCATGATCACAATAAAATCTCAATCAAGTATGCAGATTTTGTCATGCTCACTATGTAATCGTATGTTCATCCACGATAACTCTATCTTTGTGGGGTATGTATGATTGTCTTTTCTTCTATTTTTTTATAATATATTATAGCGCTTAAAATTCAGGTAGTGCAATGTATTTTCATAGTAATTTCTTTTTTCAGTTTCACATATCATAAATTCATAATCCATTCTCCTCATTGAAGACCTTTGTTTGTACAAGATTCCTCACATTTGGACCCCTCTCTTCCTTAATTAGCTTTTACCCAACCTTTATCATAATCCTCCCAATAATAATAATAATAATAATAATTATACTATAATTAGCCCTGAAGCCACACACAACTTGAAAATAATCATGGTAAGCTGACTGGGCCAAGAAAAAACCTAAGAAGCCAATCAAGGCTGAGCCCAGTCGAATCGTGCTGTGACGAGTCAAATCCATGGCATTGGGGATAATTTAGAATATGTGGGAGGTCAGGCAGGTCTCTTTGGGAAAGGGAAGAAAGAAAGGAAAATTGACAGGTGGATTCATTCCTAGAGGCCGGAATCCTGACTTGAATGCCAAAGCTAACCTTTCAGCAGCTTTTTGTGGGAAAGAGAAAGAGAAAGAAACTATTCAAACTACCACAACCACTGAATTTTTTTCAAACAACTCTTTCAATTCTGCGGACTTCTTTCTTTTCTTCTTCTCGCCAACTAAGAGTGTACTTATTATGTATGTTGTTGATTTAAGTAGGCACACAAAACAAAAATCCTCTTCTTGTCTAATTGCAGTTCACCTCACACATTTGTATTGTACCACTTCATATATAAATTGAACTAATACTTTATTTGAAAGATAAGATTCATCATTTCGTACAATACAAACATATAATCTCTCGTATTCTAGTTTATGTGAGGCCTTACGAAAATTTCGAGTGTGAACAGTTATCAATCGAAATCGTTAGCTTATCTGATTGCAACTGTGCATACAGTACTAGTTTGATAGCTGTGGATTCTAGCTACCACTTGTTTTGAAGAAAAAAGACAATTGCAACTCCTTCTGTTTTTTCCTTCCCTTTTATAAGGTTCTACGAAGGTTGTAAAAGTGCTATAATGATAGAAGAATTGGGTGTGGCATCCACATGGAATGAGAATTCTGAAAAAGGTTGGGTATTTTTAGCAGAGAAAAAGGACCTTTTTTCAATCTCTTTTATTTGTTTGCCCCTCCCTCCATCAAATGTGAAACGCGTCGTCGGTTGTAACTAGATACCTCCACCAGGCGGCAGCAACAGCGTATACGAATGAAAAGCCCAGTTCCTTTCCTAGCTCTTTTAACATTTCTCTCATTTTCACACTCTTTCTTTTTTCAAAGCCAAACAAATTGTACGTACGACACTATCTCGTTTTCAAAGATATACAGCCCAGCAAAAACATGGCCCCACACTAAATACAAAGGCAAATACGTAGTAAGACATTTAACGAAAAACAAATATGATAAATCAGCCGCGGAGGCAGGGGCAGGGGTAAATTTCGGAGGAACAAAAATACGTCATATATTTATATTAGTGATGGAACACAAGTATTAGAGTACTTTGTCACTACAACACAACTCATTACTTGTCCAAAATTGACATAAAATTAACTTATTATACAATAAATTAAACGAAATTCCAATTGCAATAAAGAACTAATCGGGTCTCTTTTCTCCTTATGTCTATTCGATCTTTCCCCTACAACTCTGAAATTGTCTAGCGACAACGGCAATCCCACTAGTTTTGATCAACCAATTACAACTGCAAGTGTAAAAAGAGCATTTTCAGCTTTGAGTTATATTAAAGAACAAGTTTTCAAGTCGATTTGGCGACCAGTTTGCTAATACTTGTTTGGTAAGATACATTGAAAGAGACTTATATAATAGTGTAGACAACGAATGTTTTTGCGCTTCTTTCACTATATGAAATTCCTTCGTAATTGTTTCTGGAAAGTATGATAGTATAATCGGTTATTTTTAATTTATGAATGAATTATTTGAATATAATTATTTTTTATTAAATAATTCTTTTATTAGATACTTATATATTTAAGTTATGAAAAGAGGATCTGGGTGGTTTGAAATGCTGCCTCCGCCACTGTGATCAATGACTATGTAAAATAAATCTTCAATCAATCACAAACATTTCATCATCTCTGGCGACATTGTAATACTATTTCGGCCCATGAAAACAAATTATGTAAGCCTACAATATTAGGAATGGTCACTAAAAAGTTTTTTTTTCTCACACAAATAATTTCCAAAAGTGTGAAGACATGCTATTACTTCTCCAAATTAAAACTTACCTTCACGCGCAAATGATTTAATTAAATCATAAATAAAGAAGCAAAATCTAAATACTACGAATTCCTCCCAATCAAATTAATCAATCACACAGCTTCTCTTTTGCACCCCGCGTCTCTCTCTCTCTCTCTCTCTCTCTCTCTCTTTCTCTGAGTGGCTTCTCCAGGACTTCACACCTCAAGTTACTTGCTCTCTACGGATCTCTTCGCCCCTCCAAAACAAAAACAAAAAAAAAAAAAATTTCTCTTTTTCTTTGTAATGAATTCCACTATTTAAGCTCCCTTTCATCCTTTCCTTCCACTTTCTTAACTGTTACTTTCTTCAACAATTCCCCCTTTCTCTCCCTTTCTTCAACAATTCTCCTTTCTTCCTAGAGCGCTAGCTAGCTAGCTCGAAAAAGGTTCTCATCATTCAGTTTTCTACTTTGAATTCCCATACATATTTCCTTCCTTCCATATATCATATATGGAAGAGGCAAGCGTGGTGAACAAGGAGGAAATGGTGGATCTGCCGCCGGGGTTCCGCTTCCACCCCACCGACGAAGAGATCATCACTCACTATCTCACCGAGAAGGTCAAGGACGACGCCTTCGCCGCCGTCGCCGTGGGTGAAGCCGACCTCAACAAGTCCGAGCCCTGGGACCTCCCCAGTAATATTTTTATTTTACCCAACTCTTCTTCTGCTTCCTTTCCTTTCCTTTCCTCTCTACGAAAGAAGAAGAAGGAAAAAAAAAAAGAATTATTCTAAAAGGTTTCTCTCTCTCTCTCCTCCGCTGACTTGACTGTTTAGGCAAAGCGAAGATGGGGGAGAAAGAGTGGTACTTCTTCTGCCAGAGGGACAAGAAGTACCCTACAGGGATGAGGACGAATCGCGCCACCGAGGCTGGCTACTGGAAGGCCACCGGAAAAGACAAGGAGATCTTCCGAGGGAGAGGCTGTCTCGTCGGGATGAAGAAGACGCTGGTTTTCTACCGCGGCAGAGCTCCCAAAGGAGACAAAACCAATTGGGTCATGCACGAATACCGCCTCCACGGCAACTTCTCCTCCTTCCCCAAAGCTTCAAAGGTAATTCAAATTACTTTTACATTTCCTTTTTCTAGGTACCCAATTCCTTTCATCAACATATAATATGACGACTTTTAGCTTCCTTCTTATGGACCGAGTGATGATGTATATATATTGTGACGAAACTTAATTCAATTATATTGGAGTTTATTTTTTTTCCTTTTTCTTATTGGTTGTTTGTGGTGTGCAGGACGAATGGGTTGTGTGTAGAGTGTTCCACAAGAATCCTGCGGCGGCGGCAGTCGGCGGTGGTGGTGGAGCGTGGATGAAGAGATCCTCTCCGATGGAAGAGCTGTTGAGGGCGAATTCTTTCGGCAACGACGATTTCCTTTTGGACTCTTCCTTGTCGCTCCCGCCGTTGATGGATCTTCCCTACGGCCATCACAACCACTTCGCCAAACCGACGTCATCTGGAGCAGCAGCGGCTGCGTTGGGGGAAGCCAGTTCCAATTCCAATTCCATTTATGGGTTCGCTAATAACTACCATCTGTATACTTTTCCGAATCCGGCGGCGGGGTATTTGCAAGGCGGCGGCGGAGGCGGACAGTGCAAGGTGGAGCAGTCGATGGTCAGCCTTTCGCAAGACACGGGGCTGAGTACGGACAACATGAGCGCGGCGCCGGAGATATCGTCGGCCGGAGGGAAGGGATACGATGGGTTTGAGGATCCGACGTCGGCGGGAGGGACCACGTCATCGGAGTTGGACTATTTCTGGGATAATTACTGATTGTGATTTATTCGGGTTCATGAATATCAATCTTGATTCTTAGGCCCACCCACCATGGGACTGTTTGATTAATCAGTTAATTCATCATTAAGGGTGATTAAAATTAGGACATTAAGAAATTGGAGAAGGGGGGAAAGGGACAGTGATTAATTCTCTGTTTTTTTTTTTCTTTCTTTCTTCCTTTGCACTTACAACATTTGATTAGGTAGAAATTTGGGGGTTTTTTTTTTTTAATTTCTGTGTACAGATTGTGGTGCTGTTACTGCTAGTGTTGTTACGAGCTCTAACCTTGTATTTCAGATGTAAAAATCTGCTAATTTTATTGACTGATATACATAGAGATGAAGGAGAGAGCTATGTGCCTATATCAGTATATATACCATTGTAAAACATTCATATAAAATATATATGTGTCCAATTATTTTTTCATCATGCGTTTTTTATTGTGTGCTTTTAGCTCCATAGTCGTCTACATACTCTGTATTGTTTGACGAAATTGGTACATAGTAGTACCTTTCATTTGGGTAAAGAAAAAATGAGTACAGTGGTCACATTCTAGCTAGCTACTTGGTTTCTTTCTTGACCAGTTCAAGTCTCGAACCATTTACTCACGTGGGAAAAAGTTAATAAATTAATCAGCGAACCATGAAAATGGAAGATAACTGTAAATTCTCAAACATAATTTGAAATCACTTGCATGTGGATCAAGATTTAGCTGAAACCGAAAAAGAACAACAAAATTATCTATGTAAGAATAGGATCTATGCCGATTGTGCCACTAGAAATTCAAAATAGTTTTGTCACATCTTACCACTGTGGTTTCCTGTCCGTCCGTCCCAGACGGTTTTCTTACCTCAAATCTAAATTTGAAGACGGGATTGAATTGTATGCTATTCGGTCCGGGTCTAGTCTCGGTTCGAGTTATACGATCTAGTTTCAGGTAAAATAAAAAATCCTTATCAAATAGCCACCCCTTATACCACATACTGATCGATACCGTATTAATATTATTACCATATGGCGGGAATTATTTCGTTTAACTTTGTATAGGTATTGCAAAGACATTTTCAACTAATATCAGTACCAGTATTTTTTTATAAGAGTGATATAATTTAATTTTTTGATTTTAGTATTATTTAAGAAATTTCAAATTTGTAACCTTCAAGACCAAAAGCTGGTAATACTCCACTTGACCAAATTGACCATTACTTTCTATCTGAAACGACTGTATTCAGCCGCAAGTCTGAGGTACTTGGGTTATTTTTTTGTCTTGTAACATATTGGTCTGAATTCTGATTACTATCAAATCTCGTGGGTAGATACAATGGAACCGATGTGGATATTGATCTATGCAATTTTTTTTGTTCTTTGTTAAAATTTAATGGGTTGTGTCTACTTTGTTTTAATTTGGAATTTAATCTTCTTTTACAAAATCTCAATTAATCATTATCTATAAAATGACATTTATTTTCATATATTTTAGAGAAGCAGAAGATTGATTGACGTATATTTTATCATGGTGCTGCAAAAATATGCTACGATGGTTTGAAAATGCATCATGGTGGTGGGACTATAGTATAAAATGGTGATATACGCATATACTATGACAGATGGTGGTAAAATTGGTTTCAAGATCTTTTTCCCACAAATACAACAAGAATTTCAATAATTTTGTTGATTACGATAAACTTGTTCCTTCTGCACACATAAATAAGTCAAGATTCAAGTTAAATGAAGGAGATAGATGGTGGTAGACAGTGGCAGTAGCGTAGTCAGAATTTCATTTAAGGTGAGTCTGACATAAAAATAAAATTATATAAAATGAATGAAATGACCTATAACGCGTTTCATAGTATGTCGACATATTTTCGTTGGAAGGTGGATAATTCGATACTGAATTAGAAATTAGTAAATTTATAATACATAATTAGGGACACAGTTTTATATAAAGTCAAGAGTTATTTATATAATATGCAAGGTTCATGTGTTCCACAAAGTTTTCTACAATTTATTTGTAGATAAGTAAAACTAGTAAACATGAGGTAATAGGTTCCAGAGTTATTAATTGTGTACAAATATTGTTATCTGTGTAATAATTTAGCAAGGATTGTAAATCCGTAGCAGTGGTTCAGTGGTTGTACTAAAAAAGTAAGTAGTATGATATTTATGTTAACCATGGTTTAATCGTGATTCAACCATTTCATACCACTAAAAAACCTTATACGATTTAAAATCCAACATAAGGTTTTCTCGATCGAACCACCTATACAATACAATTTTACAAACACTATAATCTTGAGCCAAGATGGGTCCCGGGACCCACCTTGTTATGAGCTGGCTCCGCCACTGGATAGTGGTGCGAAAAAATTTCTTGAAGAAATATTAAAAATAAATATTATTTTATCGATCATGATAAGCTTGTTTCTTCTAGATAAATTTTTTCAAAATTTTGTAGTCAATTGAAAAATAAAAAATTATTTTAATTAATTTCAACCATAAAATCTGATCCTATTTAAACAAAGTTGTATAACTCATGGTTATTTTGCAAAGTATCCAACCCGAGCTAAATTACATGTTTGGAGACTTGGCTCAATGAGGCGCAAGAGTAATTGGCGTCAAGTAATACTTTGTTTAGTATGCTTATTTACAAATGTATTTTATCCGTTTAAAACTTTTGTATTAATATTATTGTCAAATAACTTGATTTTATCTCATCTATTTAATCAAATACTAAACACGTAGAAAATCCGTTTAACATATTTAATATTCATATTTAATGTATTAAATATCCAAATTAAATATTATTTATTTACAAAATAATTAATTTTACGCTTGCAGTTAACGTAATGATCCTGACTTTTGTAAAAATAAAAAACTTAATGATCCTGACAATACATGGCCTCGTGACAGCCAATATTGGAGTTCGTCTGATCTGGACAAACCTGTAAGAATTAATTCAACAATCATATTTATTATTATATTATGTGAACCCAGTGGACGGATTATATCAACGTAATTAACTAAGCCCATATAATTGGACGAACACCAATTAATCAATTAAACAATAAAAAAGGAATTGAGGGAGCGCGCGCGAGATGGCAAGAATCACGTGAATTATTCCCTGAATCTAAGCACCAGATGCCTCTCGATCTGCTCTCATCTCATCTCATCACTACCATATATATATTATTATAATTGCGGCTGCAATTATTTGGAGCTGTGATTATTGATTTATTAATCATGATATGGTTTTTAATGTAAGGTTTCTTGAGCAGAAACATATTGACACCATCACCATCCCCCGTGTCGTACGAAACCCGGCCCAGCCCAACTTGTTATTATTATATACAATAACCACAACAATGAACAATACTAATAACAATTTGTTAATCGTATTTTGGATGGATGATCATCGCTAATCTTAAAGAAGAGAGGGGTTTTGTGCATTGGTTTGGGTTTATCCTGTTTTATTATAAAACAAATCCAGAGAGGGGTCGTTTTTTTCACTGTGCCAATATTCTGATTCATCTTACGCCTGCCTCCTTCATATTAATTTCAATCTTACGCATCTTTTAAGGATAATGAATCCAACAATTGATTATAATAATTACAAAGAATAGGCCCCGGCTTGATTGATTAGCTAGTGATCAGCGGGGAGCTGCCTATATTATTATATTATATTATATTATATTATGGCTACGTAGTGGTGTTGTGAGTCGATAAGGAGATGACATGAAAAATGGGGAGACAGGGGCTGTGTTAGGGAAAAGGCGAAACAAGCAGCTAGCCACACAAACTGGTCACTAGGATCATATATATATATATATATATATATATATATATTCATATGCAATTTGGATGAGGTGGCGGTTTTTATAGGTTCCTCCTAAAGTCCTAATAAGTAGGGGCAGCTATGAACACCGAGAAATTTTACAATGCTATACAGTATTGGTGCTATAGGATTTTGCCATTATGGTACAACTTAAAATCACTACAAGAAAAATGACAATTAGCGGCTAAGTTTATTTGTCATGATAGGTGATTTATGTGCCTCTATAGCTCTATAGAGGCACATAATTATGTGCTGTCAATACTGCTGCCGCTAAATCTCTTTAACGACAGATGTTAGCGACAAATATTATGTGTCTCTAATTATTTATTCAAAGGCATTTATATTTGCCTCTAAAAGTATAATTTAATAGCAAATAATTATTTGAAATACCCATTCTCCAATAAATATATTAGCCGCAATATATATCAATTAGAGGCAAATTCATTGCTTGTAAAAGGTAGTATTAGCGTCGCATTTTGGAATCAACTTGGTAGAATTGCAGGCTAATGTAATTGTCGTCTGCTATGCTATCTTGCCCACATAACTTTATTGTTTTCACAATTACAATTTACTTATTAAAAAAGCAAGTAAATATCGGTAAACAAATATGAAGAAAAATCCCCTCTTTATTATATACTCGAGTCAATCATAATCAATTGGATTCAATCAAAATAGAATTCTCTACAAACAATAAACAAACTACAAAGAAACTATTGGATGCAACGTGATTCTATAGGCCTCTCATCCTTAAATATTGAAAGTCATTCGGCATGAAGGATACTTTAAAATCTTGTCCGGTGATCGAGCCTGCAAACCTGAGTTCGTTGTTGCTGCGAAACCAAAACAACACCAATCAGTTAATTAATTCAGCATAACTATTTGAATTACAAATAGTCATCAACTTGACCATATAGTTCAGCAAGGTACGTACTTAGTAATCTCCTTCAACGGATCCACAATGAAGAAAAGAAACCATGATCCCTTGATCCTCGTCGTCAATGTAGCCACCAGCCCACCCTTGTTTATCAAGTGTTCTTGACGTGGATTTAGGAACCCTAAACTAAACCAAACCAATTGATTTTCGATAGCGGGCTAACTGCAAAGGAAACAAAGCAAGCGGTAACAATTGAGGGGATGCCGTAGACGCAAATTAAGAAAAAAGGAAAAAGAAATCGCACCAGGTAATAATTGAAGGGGATGCCGGAGATGCAAGGTAGTTTGACGGCCATGTGCGGGGCTCAATTAGATGAGTGAGGAGGATATAGAGAAGTAAGGATCGATACAGAACTCCATGTCAATTACAATGCCTGTCAATCGAACGCCCCATGTCGATTACAATGGCTGTCACTTGACGAGTGTTCGACGACGAAGATGATTCGGCGATTGATCTTGATGGGAATAGCCCTAAGAAATTATGGGGAACAGAATAACCTATGCATAAATGGATCGTAGATTTACAATTTAGTAAAGCCCCTTTAAAAAAATCATTTTGAATTCACGATGCAGTTACGACGAGCCGAGTTTTTGGCCATCTCTCCCCGCCTTACACAATAACTAATGTAAAAAATAATATTTTAATTTCAA